AAAAAAAAAAAAAAAACAAAGGAAAAAACACGCGATTTTTTTGTCCTCAGGTGCCGGTCCCAGGCACCCGCTCACTGGTCCTGCTGCTCTGCCTCCCTATCACCGGGGTCCCTGTCCGTTTAAGGCTTCCAAAAAGCACTCACCAAAAAGAGAGAAAAAAAACGGGGAAAAATGCGCAATTTCCTCCGTCCTCAGGCGCCAGTCTCAGGCACCCACCCACCGGTTCTGCAGGGAAAAATGCGCGATATTCTTTGTCCTCAGGCGCCGGTCCCAGGCACCCGCTCACCGGTCCTGCTGCTCTGCCTCCCTAGCACCGGGGTCCCTGTCCCTTTAAGGCTTCCAAAAAGCACTCGCCAAAATAAAAACCACTCCGGTTTCTTTCCACCCGCTGGGAGCCGGGGGGAGGGGTGCTCGTGTCCGGCCTGGCCGGGGCTTGTATCTTACCCCCTTCGCAAGGCGCTGGGTTCTTGCAGGTGTGGATGTGGTCTGGATGTTGTCCTGTGTCCTCTGGTCTCTATTTTAGGAAGAGTTTTCTTTGTTATATTTTCATAGATCTATGTGTTTTTGGGAGGAGATTTCCACTGCTCTACTCACACCGCCATCCTGGCTCCCAAGACCCCCTTTATTTTAATCCCCACCTAATCCTGTCCTCTCTCCTTCTATCTTAGGGCAACTATGCTGATGAATTCTAGGCTATGTTCTTTTATGTCTTTACCATGGACATATGCCTGCCTTCTCCAGGGCCCCAGATCACCCACCTCACCCCACCCCCTCACAACCCAGACCACCCACCTCACCCCAACCCCATCTGACCCCCACTCCTTTATAAGGGGAAGATGGATTTTGTGTTTTCCTGGTCCCGTGGACAATGTCTCACTCTATCCGTGGAGATGCTGAGTTGTCCGTGGACAGGGTGTGGGTGGATGGAGACACCTAGAGACCTGTCTTAAAACTTAAAAGGGGAGGCTTTGGCACCCAGAATCAACCAGAGACCTTCATTTATTTAACAAAAATGAAATACTTTTATTGGAAGAAATGGCAAAACTAGAAGAAAAAACTGAAGTGAATGCTTTGTAAGGGCAGTCTTTCAATAAGACTGCTGGGCATGGCGGCCAGGGGAAACTTTCCCTGGCTGCAGGGTAGGCCATCCAAGCTCTGTTCTTGTCACTGTTGCCCAGGGTGAGCTTGTCAAAGAGGTACTCAGCCAGGCCGGCTTCTGGGGCTCCCATCTTGCGCAGGATGCTGATATGGTCCCCCAGCTCTTTGATGGACCTGACTTGCTGGTGCAGATAGTGACACTCCAGGAAATCACACAGGTGCGTGTCGCTCTTGTCGGTGGCCAGGCGGTGCAGATCTAGCAGGCTCTGGTTGACCCACTTTTCCAGGCCCAAGGCATACTCTATGGCCATCACGCAGTTCCCCCAGTCATTGCGGCCGGGCCTCCTGATGTCGCAGACGCTCAGGTGGCCGCTGCGCTCGTTCTGCAGGCATATCAGCTTCTCAGCGTGCTCGCCCTTCTCACAGGACTGGCGCTGGAAGAACTGGGCAACGCGCTTGAAGGCCACATCTTTCCGGTCGAAGTAGAAGGCCATGGACTGGTACGTGTAGGAGGCATAGAGCTCCAGGTTGATCTGGTTGTTGACAGCAGCCTGGCAGTCAAGGTGGTAGTTCTGCACCACTTGGGATGGCGGCTCGGCATTCATGGAGGGCAGTGTGGTGGTGAAGGCGCAGGTGGCCTCAGCGTGTTCCCACAGTGAACAGTAAGAGAGGCTAGAGGAAGGAGAGCTCTGGACCAAGCAGCAGTCTGGGATGGGACAGGAAATGCGGTCCCTTTTCAGTAACTGTTAGTGGGAGGACCCATTAGGGGCGGAGCCATGTGGTCACATGGCAGTGTCATGAGAGGATGGGGTGGGGGTGGGGCGGAGTCACGTCAGGTTAGAGTCATTATGGGCAGGGATGGGGCGGAGTCACATGGCGGGCAGAATGACATCAGGGCAGGGAGTGTGGCGGGGTCAGGAGGAGAGGTGAGGTTAGGCCGAGTCACGTAGCGGGACAGAGAGGCACAAACTCGGCCTTCTAGGTCCTATCCCGTTGAGCCTTGGTGGGGCAGGAAACCCAGGGCAAGTGTATACTGAGTGTCTTGAGATCATTTTTTAAAATCACAGCTATATTGAGATATAATTTATATCCCATAAACTTCACCCTTTGAAAGCAAACTTTTACATGGTTCTTAGTATATTGGTGGAGTTGAGCAACCATTATGACAATTTAATTTTGGAACATTTTCATCACTCCCAAGTTTAACACCCTACCCATTAGTAGTCAATCCCATCCCCTCTGCCCCCAGGCCTTGCTACCACCAATTCACTTTCTGGCTCTATAGATTTGCCTCTTTGGGACATTTCAAATAAATTGGATCATACACACAAATTTTACTTAGCATAATGTTTTTTATCTTCATTTTATTGCTGAATTGTTTTTTCATGATGTGAACATACTACCTTTTATTTATCCTTTCATCAGTGGGTGTGTATTTGGGTTGTTTCCACTTTGTGGCTGTTATGAATAATTTTACCATGAACACATGAGTACACACATTTGTGTATACATAGGCTTTCAATTCTTTTGGGAATATACGTAGGCGTGGGACTGCTGGGTTGTATAACTCTTTAATATTTTGAGGAACTGCCAGAATGTTTTCCAAAGGGGCTGCACCATTTTACATTGCCACCAGCAATGTCTGAAGGTTCCAATTGTCTTTTGAAAAATGTTTTTAGTCATCTTCGTGGACGTGAAGTATTATCACATTGTGGCTTTGATTTGCATTTCCCTAATGACTAATAATGTTGAGTAGCTTTGTAGGTACTTATTGGCCATTTGTATATCTTCTTTGCAGTAATGTCTACTCCAATCCTTTACCCCTTTGTAAGTAGAATGATTTGTCTTTTTATGGTTGAGTTGTAAGCGTTCATATATTCTGGATACAAGTTCTTTATCAGGTATATGATTTGCCAATATTTTGTCCCATTCTGTGGGTTGTCTTTGCACTTTCTTAGTGGTGTCCTTTGAAGCACAAAACTTGTGATGATTATGATTAAGGCCAATTTATCTTTTCTTTCTTTCTGTGTAATTTAGCACTCCTCATTATCCTCACCCCACTAGGAGCCTAATCAAACGCATAGGAATTGGATTAGCACATGAAGCACTTTGATGGGTGGCGTGTGAAGGTGTCTTGCCAATGGGTTTCGGCCCCGGGCAAGTTTGCTATGGACTCGATGTGACCAAAGAAAATGACAGCAAAACGTTCTCAGGGTGAAAGGGTTATACCCAACTTTATTTCCAGGTGGCAGGTCAGTCACTAAAATCCCATTCACTCAAAGCGAGTCTGCATGCAGCATGCCAGTCTCTGCCTCTGGGCCTCTATCCTCTGCGCTGCCACCACTCCAGCCTCTGCTCTGCTCTCCTGCAGCCTTGCAGCAGTGCCACTGTGTCAAGCGCAGAGCACTGGGTGGAGCTCTTTATATAGAGTCAACAGCCATGTATTGCCCACAGGTGTGCAGTGAGCTAGTCAACCAGGGCAGGGTGAGAATCCTGGCCACAGGAACTCTCATTTTATCCACACCACCCTAGTCTTGACATGCTAACAGTTTTCTAAACATGAACCTAAAATGTCACTCCACTGTTCAAAAGCCTTCAATATTCTATAGTGGTCTGAGGAAGGAACCCTCAACGCTGAGGGATCAGGGGCTCTAGTAGGAGGCCTCTCAGAAGTCAAGATTCATTCATAAATTCGGTCAGATTGCGTAGGTGTGCGTGCGTGTGCCTGAGTGAGACAGAAAGGCTCAGCGCCCATGAAATCACAAATGTTTCTGTAAGGATGAATCTAGGGGCAATTTCTCACCTTCTTTTGAAAATCCAAAAAGACTCTCAAATACGGAAGCAAAGAATGGGGATTTTTTTGCCCTGTATAACATTGACTGAGTTCAAAGTCTTAGGGAAGGAGAGAGGTTGGCAGTCATTTCTTTCCTTGTTGAATTTCTTTTCAATGCGTACTCAGCATTTTAACGCAAACTCTGGCTAGAATGCCACCCCTGCACATTGTTAAACAGTGATAAATAGGTCCAGATACTTTACTTTAAAAGGACATTTTAGTTAATGTTCCTTGAGGAGAAGCAATAGTAACCAATGTTGCCCATTTGTCTGGTCATTCTGAGCTCCAGATGGCCTCATCAATGCTTGAGGAAATAGGAGTGTGTTATTGAGCCAGAAGATTAAATAATATGTGCTGAACTGCTTCTACCAATTAGGGAAGGGTTTTAGATTTAAGCCTCCAGGCATTTCTGGTAAAGGCACGCCAAGTGTAATGAAGTAACCAAAACTGCTCTCCTTTGCAGCAGGATGAGTGAGCTGTCTTCTGCACAATCATTTATAGAACTGTCCCTCCTTGCCTACTAGTAGAAAAGCACTGTGGAGTATTACTAAATTTACAAATTAAAAAATTTTTAAGACAAAAACTTACATGTGTATATATACATACATACACATACATACATCTATATATGCAATGTGCATCTCTGAGTTAAATATCCCATCCAAAATCCCTGAAAATGGACCTATTCTGTTAAAATGCTAGTGATTGCTTTGAAGTCATTGTTTATCAACTTCAAATATATATATTTTATAAGGTACATATAAAATGCACATATCTTACTGTACAGCTTCATGAATTTTGACATGTGTATATTTTCATGTAACCATCACCCCGATCAAGATACCAAACATCATTAATCTTTTTTCCCATGCACCTATTTCACCCATCTCCCCACCCTGCTCCCCTATGGTAACCACTGGTCTGTTCCAGTTTTGGGTGTCCATTTGTTTTTTTAGATTCGACATATAAGTAAAATTCTACCGTATTCCTCTTTCTCTGTCTGACTTATTTCACTTTAACATAATATCCTCTAGGTCCATCCATGTCATCACAAATAGCAAGGTTTCATCTTTTTTATGTCTGAGTAATATTTCATTGTATATATGTACCATATCATCTCTATCCATTCATCTATGGATGAACATTAGGTTGTTTCCACATTTTGGCTATAGTAAATAATGCTGCAATACATAGGAGTTCATATATCTTTTTGGATTAGTAATTTTGTTTTCTTCAGGTAAATTCTCAGAAATGGAACTGCTGGGTTATATGATATTTCTATTTTTAGTTTTTTGAGAAACCTCCAAACTACTTTCCATAGTGGTTGCACCTATTTACAGTCCCACCAATAGTGCCTGAGGATTCCCTTTGCTCCACAGCCTCCCCAGTACTTACTGGTTTTGTCTTGTTGATAGTAGCCATTCTGGCTGGTGTGAGGTGGTGTCTCACTGTGGTTTTCATTGGCATTTCCCTGATGATTAGTGATGTGGAGCATCTTTTCATGTGCCTCTTGGCCATCTATATGTCTTCTTTGGAAAAATACCTATTCAGATCTTCTGCCCATTTTTTAACTGGATCATTGGTTTTCTTGGTTTTTAGTTGTACAAGTTCTTTGTTTTGGATATTAGCTCCTAATCAGATATCCCATATGCAAATATTAAATTCAATAGGTTGCCTTTTTGTTAATGATTTCCTTTGCTGTGCAGAAGCTTCTTAGTTTGATGTAGTTCCTTATTTATTTTTGTTTCTTTTGCCTAGACAGACATATCCAAAAAAATATTACTAATGCTGATGTTCAAGAGTTTATTATCTATGTTTTCTTCCAGGAGTTTTATGTTTTCAGTTTTATGTCTTAGGTCTTTAATCCATGCTGAGTTTATTTTTGTGTATGGTGTAAAACACTAATCCAATTTCATTCTTTTACATGTAGCTGCCAGTTTTCCCACCACCATTTATTCAAGAGACTGTCTTTACCCCATTGTGTATTCTTGCCTCGTTTGTCATAGATTAATTGACCATATAGGTGTGAGTCTATTTCTGGGTTCTCTATTCTGTTCCACTCACTGGTCTATGTATCTGTTCTTATGCCAGTGCCGTACTGTTTTGATTGGAGTAGCTTTGGTAGTATCATTTGAAATCAGGGAACATGATACCCCCCACACTGCCCCCAGCTTTGTTCTTCTTTTTCAAGATTGTTTGAGCTACCCAGGGCTTTTGGTGGTTTTATATAAATGTTAGGATTATTTGTTCCAGTTCATTGAAAACTTCATTGGTATTTTCATAGGGTCAAATACATATCTTGTAAAGTTGGCCTGATTAGTTGTGTGATTGTTGCACCAGTGAGATATGATTGTACATAGTATTTCACATTAACAGTTCTAAAAATTTTTTATCAATAGTTGATCACATGTGATAAGAATCAGATTTGGAAGACAGAAACCCAATTCAAACTAGCTGTGGGAGACTGCAAACATAGCCAAAATTCTTCTCCCTTCAAAATGTATAGTTACCTATCCCTTGAATTTGGGTTGGCCATGTGACTTGCTTAGCCAATAGGACACTAAAAAATGTGGCAATCAGAGGTTTGAAAATAAACCACATAGTCCTGTCATTTCTCTAGCACCCCAGCCAACAGCCATCCACATGCCAGACATGTACATGAGGTCATCTTGATCATCCAGCTGCCAGCATGAGTGGTGCACAGGTGAACTCAGGTGAGATCAACAAAGGCAGCCCAGCCCAGAATCATCCAGCTGATCCATGGTACCATGA